CTGCTGGATGACGAGGATGAGTTCTCTTCGTTGTTGTTGGGCGCCTTTGCGACTTCCTTGGACTGTTCAACCTCAGAAGTGGCTCTGCGGCAATCCTCTTTGTTAGGTTGCTGGATAATCCCTGACCTTGTTTTATCAGGCTGGAGCGACCCTACTCGTACCTGCCGTAGGGTTTCTTCGAAAATTCTCAGCGGGGCAGCCAAAAAGTCGCGGGAATAGACTTCAAGCAACCCCTTGCCAGAGCTATGATGGCCAAGTACTAGTCGATGCTCTCTACTTGCTCCGGCCTTTACAAGCCACCATAACATCGTACACTTTAAATTGTATGATAATACTTGGTCACCTAAGCCCCACTTGCCGCTTTTGGGGGTGCGGCTAAAATTGCCCCCCTGAACAAATCTGAGAATCTATTTTTTCGAAGGAAGTTTGGAAGTCAAACTTCCGACAATATGGAGAGATGAAAAAGCAGTCAGCAGGGAGATGAAAAAGCAGTCAGCAGGGAGAAGAGTCAGAAGAGAAAAGATCAGAAGAAAGAAGATGCAGGTGCGCGAAACGGTAGGAAAGTCGCGAAGCACTGTGGAAAAGGTCGGAAAGATGCAGGTACGCCGTTGTGGCGCGAAGCACATTTGGAAGTAAAATGTACAAAGCACACCATTCTCGGACCACTTTTGGAAGTTGAGATGTTGAAAAAGTGCACGCCGTTGTAGCGCGAAGCACATTTTGAAGTCAAAATGTACAAAGCACACCATTCTCGGACCACTTTTGGAAGTTGAGATGTTGAAAAAGTGCACGCCGTTGTGGCGCGAAGCATTTTGAAGTCAAAATGTAGAAAACACACCAGGTCCGGACCACTTTTGGAAGTTGAGATGTCGAAAAAGTGCACGCCGTTGTGGCGCGAAGCACATTTCGAAGTCAAAATGTACAAAACACACCATTCTCGGACCACTTTTGGAAGTTGAGATGTCGAAAAAGTGCACGCCGTTGTGGCGCGAAGCACATTTCGAAGTGAAAATAAACACTAGGGGTTCGGACCACTTTTGGAGGTTCAGATGTCGCTTCGCTTCAATGCACTACACTACATTACACTACACTACTCTACGCTCTACTACACTACACTACATTACACAACACTACAACTGCAACTACACAACTGCACTCCACTACACTAAATTACACTACACTACACTACATTACACTACACTACACTCCACTACACTACACTACATTGTCACTACATTACACTACACTGCACTACCTTCCACTACACTTCACTACATTACACTACACTCCACTACACTACAACTACAACTACACAACTACACTCCACTACAATACACACCACTACACTCCACTACACTAAATTACACTACACTACACTACATTACACTACACTACACTCCACTACACTACACTACATTACACTACACTACACTACATTCCACTACACTCCACTACACTACATTACACTGAATGACACTGCACTGCAGATAGACAGGTAGACAGATAGACAGATAGATAGATAGATGGATAGATAGACAGATAGACAGCTAGACAGATAGACAGATGAAAGAAAGAGAGAGAGAGAGATAGATAGATAGATAGGTAGATAGATAGATAGACACGTAGATAGCTAGACAGATAGACAGATGAAAGAGAGAGAGAGAGATAGATAGATAGATAGATAGATAGATAGATAGATAGATTGGGTAATTAGATGAAAAAAGAGAGAGAGAAATAGATAAATCGATAGATAGATAGACACATAGAAAATAGATAGGCAGATAGGTAGATAATGAGAGAAAGAAATAGAAAGAGTGAGAGAGAGCAAGCAAGATTTAATTTATCAATGGCTTCGCTTTGCCATCCTTGCTTCACAAGAATCAACCTCTCCTATAGGTTTCCTATTTTTGAAACTTCCACCACCGCCTTGTGCGGTACTATTGGTAACCTCTTATATTATATTTTTCGAGATCAGGTCCCAGGAGGGCATCCAAACCCCAAATGGGAGCCTCTAAAGGGAATGGCAGGTTGTGTTTGGCCACTTGCACCGCTGTTTTGTGGCTGAAAATGGAGAAACTGATGATTCCGCCAGGCATACTATTATCTATGGTGACATCCAATTCGAAGGAATTTACACACCTTCTGTCTGACCATCTGTATCTTGCATAAATGGCGTTCCTACTGCAAATTTATTAAAAAGGTTCGTATTGGTATCTTGCGGGAAATTTTCGAGGTGTATAATTTCCTTGTCTGTCAAAGGTCGCGCTTGCTTTCGCCCTGGGCGGCTCATTAATAATTTGTCCAGAACCCCTTTTTAAAAAAATCTAGGTTACCCTTACTTCATAGTGGATAGGTCAAGGATATATATTCCAAAATTAATAAATTCTATAAAGGTATATAGAGTACTATAATTTGCTCCGTTTTGATGGCATTCCCATACATATTTTACAATGTTACTAGATATGAAAGGAAAAATCTCTTTTGGTAATAGAATTTTTTGTGTTGCCATCAAAATTTCATTGGCCCTTTTCAAGACTGTCCCGCAGCTGCGTGACCCGCAAAGCTCTCTGATTCTTTGGGAGTTGGAGGGCATGTCCGAAGGGTCCGTGCCCACTTTATACGTTCGATTCTGTTAAAATGATCCCAAAAAAGATGGTTTTGCTATAAAATCCATACACCACCTGGTTCGTACTCTATCATTTTCCAAGGGGTTCTTACTCCTCCCTTTCAATATCATTTTCATCCATACCACGTTCCTGTATCGATTGGGCCCACAAAGGAGCATCACTAAAGATGGATTTAAATATAGCTTATTCCCATGGCAGGTTTAGTCCACTGGATAATTATATATTAAGCATGTTTTATTCAAGCACTTTTTCGAATAAGGTCAAATCAGCATCAGAGGATTTCAATTGAGAGACCTCTTCCGGCTCTGTCGATAGAGGGGGCATGAAGCCCGCTGCTTCGGATAACGCATTATTCACACTGGTATAATTTCCAAAGAGGTCCACTGAATTAACCTCTGAAATGAAATCCTCAGGAACGTCGGCCATTTCTTGGACCAAACTCACAGCCAAAAGAAAACAAGGTGTCCGTCTGACGGGCTCGGACAAATGCAGTGCATACATACTTGCTATTATGTAGTATAAAAAATTTAAGCAAATATTTCACTCTGGTCTGCCGGTCGGACGAAATGATCGCCTATGAGATACGGCCATGGGCCAATGCCCCAATTATATAATCCTTAGCAAGATAAGAAAATGATGTTCATAATAATTTACATATTTAATATTTGAAAAAGAAAATAATATTTTAATTTTATATTATTATTATTAAAATAATTATTTTAATTAAATTAAATTATTTTTGATATATATTATATTATATTATATTATATATATATTTATTCTATTTTATTTTGTTAAGATAAATTATTCATTATATTTATTTATTATATATATATAATATTTTTTATATTTCAAATTATTAATATAATTTTATTATATCTTATAATTTTTATAAATATATTTCAAAAAAAATATATTTATCTATATATTTTTTATTATTTATAACTAATAATAAATATATTATTATTTTATTTTTATTTTTAAATAAAATCAAAAAACCAATTATATAATTATTAATTAAATTATCAATTTATTTTAATTTTTTATTTTCCTTTTCATCTCACTATAAATCCTAAAATTTTCTGAAAATTATTATAATTTCTATAAATTTTAAATTTTCATTATTACACAAAATAATTTTCTATAATATATCGGCATTATCCAAAAAAAACATAAAATAATAATTTTTGATATCAAATTAACATTTATAAATATTATAATTTTGAATTTCCGAAATTATATTTATTTTTTCCCGAGGATTTCAAAAAAATATAAAAATAATAATTATTTGATAATTTTTGATTATTATGAAATTGAAAAAAATAATATCATAAATATAATTATAAGAAAAACAATCAAAAATATAATAATAATGAAATATCAATTAATAAATTGAAATAGAAAATAAGAATGAAAATCAAGAATAAGGAAGAAAAAAAATGAAAAAAAATAATAATAGATATATTAATATCGTGATATTTGACCTATAAATTTATAAAATACAAAAATTATGGAAATATATAATTTTAAATTAAATTTATATAATGAAAAACAAACATTTTAAGGGATCCTCTATATATTCCCATTATTATTAATATTATAATAATATATATATTTTTTTCATATTTTTTTAATAACATTATTATTATAATAATATATTTTATATCGATATATTTTTTTAAATAAATAATATTATTAAGAAAATATTATATATACTATATTTATATATTTTTCAATTTTTATTTATATATATTTTTATATATAAGAATTTATATATAAATATATTTTTCAGATAAATATATTTTTATATAGAATTTTTCAGATGAAAAGAAAACCATAAAATATTTAAATATTTTTCTATATATTAATTATTTATATAAATATATAGATATAAATATTTGAATAATTTTATAAAAAAATATATAATAACCAATTCATATAAGAACAAAAATAATCCCAGAAATTGCGTAACGACATTTTTATAGATCGAAATTTTTATAAAAAGAAATTGGAATCAAAATAATAATAATAATGGCAATTATCTCTGATCACTGTCCTTTGATTCCTCTCAAGTGCATAACAGGTGCATGCTCTGGGTAGACCGACTGCTGACGGGTGCTGGCCTGCTCTCTGACCTGTCTTGGGGGTTTGCCTGTCCCTTTCACTGCGGCGCCTCAGGGATCCCCCTCCTCGTCTGTGGACTTTGCATTGGACTCGTAGGGGGCTTTGGACTGTCCCTGTGGGTGCTGTTTGACTTCTTTTCAAGGCCTGTCCAGCCTGTCCCTTCGAGCTTCGCTCCTGCCTCCTCGGTTGCCTCTCAGGTTTTCCCGGCCTCCAGGGTCAGAAATAGATTGAGGGGCTACTTGGACTTTGATGAGTAGCGGCCTTGCCGCGAGGCTGAGGGAATTGTCCAAAGAAGCCGACAGGTTGCAAGTAGCAGCAGTTGAGCTGGCGGAAAACATCTCCGAACTCTGCAATCCAGGGTCATTTGGTGATTGGGTCCTGGTTGACGACGCCTTTGATCCTCTCTTTCCAGAGGATTTTGCTGCGGTCAGAGCCTTATTGGTTCACCACGGCCTTGAGGACGGGTTTCCTCCTATTCCCGAGGAGTTGGTTAGGATTGCTGCACGTGCTCTTTCAGGCACTCCCCAAGAAGTGGTTCAGAAGGCCCAATCGGCTTTTAGAGCAGGTTTCCTAGCTCACATTGCCCTGGCTACATCAACTCCTTTCCTCAAGAACGAACAGGAGAGTGAGGCCGAGCATTGCCATTGGGTTGTTTTCTACAGGCATACCCCGTCCATCAACAGGAGGGTGACAAGTTTGGCCTGCAAGGACGTGGCTATTACAGTCGAGGATTGTGTGTGGCAGGGATTTGACTCCTTGACGGAGCTCTCCATTTTCTGTGCAGGGGCATCCGTGAGAGTGCCGAGGCTGGAAAAATGGATAAGTCCCTTTTGAAGTTTGCACGTGACGGCGACCCATCGCTTTTGGTGTGGAGAGTTCCAACCATGCTGACTGATGGTGGGGTAGCAGACCTTCAAGCTTTTGTATTACCTTTGCTTTCAAGGGCCGGGGGTTTCCTGGCCGCAATCCCCTTGCAAGTAGTTTTATCCGATGTTTTGTTGGATGCCATGTTGAAGGAGGAGCCTGGCACCATTGGCCCCTCAAAGGAATTCACTGCACAGCTTATGGTGGAAGAGGAGATAGGCAGTGGTGTTGTTGATCTCTCTTCCACTGCCAATTTTGTGGTCGTTGACCTTGACGATACAGTTTTGATGGAGATGCGTGAGTATGACATTGTCACAGACTCTACTGAGCCTATTGTTCCGTATTCTGACAGCGATCCCAACGCTTTGCCCAAGGTCATTCAGCTTCTCCCAATGATTCAGGACTGGATCGAATCAGTTGCAAGTGAAAGGTTGGCTTTTTATTCAGCTCGAGAGGAGCAGGATGGCCCTACACTCCCTGCAACGAAGAAAGCTGCTGCAAAGAAGGCAGCTCGGACCACCATTGCCACTTTGGCGTCGCAAATGGCTACTATGCAGCAGCAACTTCAGGCGGTTTTGGCTCAACAAGACGTTTTGGCAAAGGGGGGTGGAGGTATGGATGGTTTTGCAAGTCATGCTCCCGCTCCCTCAAATGGACCTATGGTCGCAACCATACCAGCTTTGTCTTCTGGTCTTGGCCTTGGTACTGTACCAAAACAGGCAGCTCTGGCGATTGGCCCCCCTCCGCGGACAAAGGATGCGCAACTGGAAAATGTGGCAGATGTAGGACAGCCCGTGGCTCCTATTCAGGGTTCGTGTGCGGTTGGAGGAGAAGGGCAGATGTTCAGCGCCCTTTCTTAACAAAGTGCCGCCCTGACACAGCTGGTTGCTCACCTTGCAGGAGGCGATCCTATGTCGGACTTGGCAGGGCATTCAGGGACAGCAGGCCTTGGCTTGAATACCAAGGGCGTAGCAAGGCGAGAAAGGATGCAGAGCGAATTGGCTCAGCGCAGTTCCAACTATTTCCTACAGGTCCAACAGCAGCTTTTCAAGAGGATGAACCCCAGCAGAGCGGTACCCAAAAATGCAGCCGAGCTCAGTCAAGCTGGAGCCTCTATGACAGCTTATTTGGAACGGTATGGGGGCTTCAGGCAAAATCGGGATACAGGGCTGATCATGTGGATTCTTGCTCATGCCATGGACTCTGCTTCCCAAGACGATTTCCATGGGACCAAGGAGTACTTGGCTCTGCTGGTGGCAGCTCTCGAACAGAGCACGCTGGATGGGGGATGGGGTGTAGCCTATGTGTTGTCTCTGATGGAAGAGCCGCCTCAGCAGCTCTTCATGGAGCGCATGACTCCGGTCTCAGCGACCGGGAGGCCGTTCTCTCCTCTTGTCCCTCCCAGCTGGGCTGCAGTGGCACTGAGCTACCTGAAGGAGTTGGAAGTCCTTTCAACACGCAAGACCGAGATGAGGTCAACTTCCAGCCCAGCCCCAAAAGCCTCGCCTCAACCCAGCGATCCCAGCTAGCCGGCGAGCCCAAAACGAAAGCCGAGGTTTCCCAAGAAACCCAAAGCTGCAGCGGAGAGCCCGTGATGGGCTTTGATGGTGGTATACCCATTGACAGCAATGAATTCAGTTTTGGTTTTTTTTTGCCTGGTGGTGACGAAACTACATTGATACGTGGTGAAGTTTCTGAACATCAAAATCCTCCAGGCCGCCCTGATTTCAAACAAGGTTCGAATTCAATCAAGGCTGGTTCTGTTTCTAGCTCTACGACAATGTCATATCCGAAGTGGTGTGCTTTGCTGGTTCCTTATGTGCTAAGATCCAGGACTCCCTTTTCAGCCTTTTTGCACAGATCCATCTGCTTGCTTCGGGGCCCGCTTGTGCGGTCTGCCTCGACACTGACCTTTTTCCCTGTGCCAGTCTTTGACCGAGACCAATTTCGCAGGAAGCCTTCAGGTTTGTCATCCCTCAAGAGGCGCAACTGTCACCTACATCGAGCCATCCACGTCATTTGCATGGCGCTGAATTTTTGGTTTTTTGGGGGTCGATGGGTTGCTGATGATGAACTGAAGAGGGAGCCCAATGCCGAGCACATCAACTTGTATGCAAGGCTTGCTTCTTTGATTAGGTCAGACGGCCTGGCTGAATCCTTCAATTTGGCGAAGTCGGGTCGAAAACATCCCGAATTACTTGCACGACTTTCTGAGCTTAGCAATCTGCTGACTGTTCAGGGTGGAGCTTCATGCGGCTATGAGAAGGGTTTTGCTGGAGTTGATGTTCCTAAGGACAGTTCCGCAGCGCCTGAACTGACCCCATTCGTTGATTTGGACGCCTCCCGGTTGAGGATTTATGGTAGCGGCCATTGGGATGTTACAAGCCATTTGCATGATGAACTTGTGCTTGCATACCGTGAACCCAGGAGCCTTCTTGCTGACTTGCCCCTGGGCGACCACCCCAAATGTCGCGACTCGCAGGAGGAGGTAGCCAAACTTGCTCATCTCTGGGATCAGGCAGGACTACTTCGGTTGTCTCGCTGCCAACGTCCTCTGGGTTCTTTGGTAAAAGTCTTCAACTGCTACAAAAATGCTGAAATGGACCGCCAAATTGGCGATAGGCGAGGACAGAATTCTCTGGAGTGCAGAATTGCAGGCCCTAGCAGAGAACTCCCCGCTGGTCCAGACATGATGGATCTTCAAGTTGATGTGAACAGTCAGAAAATTGTGGTAATTATCACAGACCGTAAAGACTACTACCATCAGCTTTGGGTGTCTCCTGCACGGGCATCGACAAATGCAGTTGGTCCTTCAATACATGCCGATTTGGTGAAAGATACTGGAGCATATTCGGCATTTTGTTTGCAATCCTCTATGCAGAAGAGGCAGGGGCGCGCGAAAGGAAGGGTGATGCTCTCCACAACTTCACTCTCCATCCAGGAGAGTCCCCAGAGGCTGAGTTTTTACCTCTGGATCACTTCTGGACTTGCTTTGGCTCAGTTTTGCAAGGAGATCACGTGGGGGTCGAGATTGCAACTTCTGCTCACGAACACTGGCTCAGAAGACACGGCTTGCTTGATGAAGCCAGCAGACTGGTCGCCTCTCGCTGCCTGAGGTCGGATAGACTTCTTCAGGGCCTTGTGATTGATGATTACTTCGCCGCAAGTGTTGAGGACAGGAAGACAGTCAATTCTGCAAGCATAGCCGCAGCATGTTACAATAGAAGCCAGCTCGCATATGAAGCGGCGGACCTCCTGGGGTCTCCTACAAAGGATGTGGTGGGCGAAAACGAGGGCAAGCTTGTGGGGGCTTACATAAACTCCAGTGAAAGAGCTCTGAAAAGAAAACTCTGCACTGTCGGAGCTCCCGCTGCTAAGCGAATTGCCCTGTCCTTCATTACATTGGCATTATGCAATTTGGGTTGCACAACAGATGTTTTACATCTTCGCCTTATTGGAGGTTGGGTATCTATCCTTGCTTTTCGCAGACCTATGATGCTAATATTAGCCAAATGCTATCACCTTGTTGATCAGAATGCGGTTGATGCAAACACCCCTAAGTTGGTGCACCTGCCGAGAAGCGTTGCAAATGAACTAGTCATGTTAGCATGTCTTGTCCCCTTGGCCGTCTCAGACCTGGGTGCTGAATATTTTCCTGCACTGTTTGCCACGGATGCCTCCTCCTTCAAGGGGGCGATCTGCTGGGCCCCACAGGAACCTAGGGTTCTTCGGACCATTTGGAAGAGTTGCCGGTCCAAGGGAAGTTACACCAGGTTGCTTTCGCCAGCTGAGCAAGTTTTGCGGAACAATGGGCTTTTTGATGAGGAAAAGTTGCAGGGAAGGAGGATGCTAGGGCCTGATCGCCCTCTTGCCTATGAGTTTGATTTCATTGAGGTGTTTTCTGGTGCAAGTTTGGTAACGAAGGCCATTGCTGCAAAAGGGTGGAGCGTTGGACCACCATTGGACATTAGCATTTCACAAGAGTATGACCTTTCGTCAGTCTATATCTGTGAATGGCTTACCTTCCTCCTTGCTGAGAAGAGACTCAAAGGCGTGATGATTTCCCCTCCTTGTACAACATTTTCTATTATGAGGCGTCCTAGGTTGCGCAGCCCACTGAAGCCTTTTGGGTTTGATACAACGGATGAGCAGACCTTGACGGGTAACACATTGGGGCAAAGAGGAGCTCAGATTATGTATACAGCCGCTGCAAATGATGCCGGTGGTATTATGGAAACAACATACAGCTCATACCTCAAGTATTTGCCAGGTTGGCTCGTTGTCAAATCGCTCCAAACGGCTGAGGAGGTGCGCTGTGATTCCTGTGCCTTTGGCTCGGAGCACCTGAAGCCCTTCCGTTTCCTGGGGGTCAATGTTTCCTTGGCCTTGCTTGCACGAAGGTGTAGCTGTACTTGCAACCATGTACGTATATAAGGTGCATTTACAAAAGCCTCCGCTACTTATGTGCCTAAACTGGTTGAAGCCATTGCAAACTGTTTGCACTCTGCAATGCTGGAGGTTCGTAGGAGGAGGGCGGAAGCTCTTGATGTTGACATCTCAGGTTTGGAAAACCAATTGGTCAATGAAGCTGCTTTGGCCTCAAAGTGGGAAGTCTTGAAGTCGTGGAATTTCAGAAAACAGAGCCATATAAATATCCTGGAAGAGGCTGCAGTGCTTCGCCTGGTCAACTTTCTGGCTACTTATCGACGTCCTTTGAGGGCTTCTGCGTTGGTTGATAGCTTTGTTGTTCGAGGTGCCACCTCCAAAGGTCGCTCTTCATCGCGTGGGTTGTCAACTATACTGCGAAGGGTAGGGGCAACTTGTGTTGCGGCAGCCCTGTATTTGACCTTGCCATTTGTCCCTACACGTTGGAACCCAGCGGATGACCCAACACGTGACGCAGTTTTGAGACCTTCGTATGGAAGCCTGGGTGTTGAAAGCTGGGATGATTTGGATCTGTTTCTTTTGTCCGAGCTGCCAAAAACCAAGCGTTGGGCCTCTCTATGGATGAGAATGGTTTTACGTTTGATAGGGTCTGCCTGTTTGCATTTCTCAGATAGGTCTCTTTTTAGGCAAACAGTCCTAACTCGCTATGAGGCCACAGGTCATGAGTCTGAGCAAAAAGGCTTTGATAGCTCGCTTGGTTTCCCGGGCGAAGGCCCTGCTATGACCAACCAGCCCCAAATAGTTGGATTCCGCTCTATGTCTTGCAGGCTTTTATTTGGACTTCCATCATTTCATGGATTTGCCCTTTGGACTTTTCTCCACTCTCTTTTCTTCGTCCCGGCCACCTGGATTGCTGCTGTGTTGAGGGGGGTGCTTTGTCTCTTCTTATTTTTCCCTAGGGGGCTGTGGTTTTCTGTGGGTCTGCTTGCTTTTGCTCCGGCCGCGAATGCCATGCCGATCTTTCCTCGGACTGCAGGTGAGAGGTCAAAAGCAGCCATAAGACAGAATAGACCTCCGGTGCCATCAGGGCGGCCAGTTTTACCTGTCACTATGTAACGTCGGAAGCAGCTTTTAGATGAGTTTTTCATTTGGGCAACTGAACAGGGTCTGGATATAGCTGCGATGTTTGAGGATCATCAAAGGCATATTGATGATCTTAATCTGGTTTTGGAGAAGTACGGTCGTGCCTTGTATGAGCACGGCAAATCCTACAGGAAATATGCAGAAACGCTAAACGCCATTACTTCATGGAAGCCGGCAATAAGACGTATGTTGCAAGGGGCATGGGACTTTGGTTTTGCGTGGAACAGGCATGAGCCTAGCCTGCATCACGTTGCAATGCCAGGCCCCATTGCCCTTGTAATTCTGACAACAAGTATGCTGTGGGGATGGACGCGTTTTGCTGGAGTTTTTGCTCTCATGTGGGCAGGGCTGCTTCGACCAGGTGAGTTACTTTCTGCCAATAGGTCAGATCTGCTGCTGCCCAGCGACGGTGACAAAACACTTCCTTTTGGGCTATTGGCGATACGTGACCCAAAAACCAGGTTCTCCAATGCGCGCCATCAGAGCGCTAAACTGGATATGGCAGATATGCTGAAGATCATCGAGTTGTTCCTATCTCCCCTACAAAGTCAACAGAGGTTATGGCCTTACTCTGGGAGTACTTTGAGGAGTAGGTTTCATGCTATCCTTCAAGCGCTGCAGCTTCCGCTGGATACAGTCAACGGAGTTAGACCCCTCGAGCTTGCATCAGTGCGTGCAGGGGCAGCTACGTGGATCATGCAGACAACAGAGAGTGGTGATTTGTTACAAAGAAGGGGCCGCTGGGCCAACCGGCGTATGATGGATATCTACGTACAAGAAGTTACTGCCTTAGTATACTTGAAACGAGTTCCTGAACATACCAAGAATCATGTTCTGAATCATGTTCTGATGGTGGCGGACTCTTTCCTACAAGTACTTGCCAAAGCAGAACTTTTCATTCAAGCTCGTATCCCTCCGAGCTCTTGGTTTAAGTTATTTCGTGAGTAAAAGAGACGAATGAAGTCAACGGTGGAAGATGTGGGAACGAAATTTGGTGGCGTGGCTGTGGAAATGGCCCTGTTGCTGCAATACTGATGCCTCCAGGTGCCTCATAGGAAGCCCCAGGTGACTCAATGGAAGCAACTACGGCCTGTACTTCCACACCCAGCTGTGAAACATACGCAGCAAGCATGGATGAAAAAGGGAGCTGTGTGAAGTGATGGCAATTATCTCTGATCACTGTCCTTTGATTCCTCTCAAGTACACCCACCACTGGAACCTGCGGCTCTCCCTACCCATTGCTCACGAAATTTGGTGGCGTGGCTGTGGAAATGGCCCTGTTGGTGCAATACTGATGCCTCCAGGTACCTCATAGGAAGCCCCAGGTGACTCAATGGAAGCAACTACGGCCTGTACTTCCACACCCAGCTGTGAAACATACGCAGCAAGCATGGATGAAAAAGGGAGCTGTGTGAAGTGATATATATTTATATATTTTTCATATATAAATATTTATATAAATTAATATTAAATTTATTTAGATTTCATAAAATTATAATATTATATATTAAATATCAAAAAAAATAAATTAAATAAATAAATATTGAAATGAAAACAAATATAAATAAATATATTGAATAATAATTATTTTTTACGGATAAATTTATTCTAATATTTAATATAATATAAATATAATAATTTCAATAATATATTATTATTATTATTAATATATAATTATAGATATTAAAATATTAACAATTAATTATTATTAATATTAATATTTCCATAAAAATATTGATTTTTTAATCATAATTTATAGGATGGATATTGCCACAGGTCATAGGGACTCACCCGTTTCCTACCTATTATCAATAACCTAGGGTCTCTTTCACTATTTAATAATATATTATTGAAATGGTTAGTAAAAAAAATAAATTAAATAAATATTTTATATTGAATGAATATTTCACACTAAGCAAAAAAATCAGATTAAATGAAGGTATCATACTGAGAAAAAATCATATCGAGCACAATTTTCATATTGAATATTTTATATTGGATTTCCTTTGTTGAATGGGGGTTGGTAACGTTGCGTTTGTTCAATAATGCTCTTACGCATCGATCGGTTGTTTTTGTCGAATGGAATTACGATTATCTAGTATAATATGTTTTAATTATTTCCCATATTTTATTTATATTATTAGATGTCCAGAATTGTCGTGGG